AGACTAAGCTACCTGTGCCTCGAATTTACAGCTAATTATCCATAAGGCAAAATAGTTCATTTGTCTTGCTAACAGCCATGATTCATGAGAGCTACCATGCAAGTTAGCTCAAGTTTAGCTAAGGCTATAGGAAGTCTAGACCAGTGCGCGTTCATTCACTGCATGATTCAGTTTCTTAAAATGCATTTAGAATGATCACAAAATATACAGAAATTTATATATTTATATAATATCATATAGTTAATCAGTATCATGCGAAGACTGACGTTTTTTTCCACCAAAAAGCAGCATGATTACAAAAGTTAGGTTATATTGATTTCATACAGCAGTTCAATAAACAATAATGTAATATTAAGACACTTACGTTTTAGACACAATATTGACGGTTTTTGCTCTATTTTGCCAACAAATATAATTCCAATTTGTGTCTCTGAGCAACATGACTCTGATTTGTTCCTGAGTGAATCAGCCGTTTAAATGATTCGGTTCAGTCGCAATGACTCACTTATTAACAGTGACTTGCTGCCACCTACTGGCCGTTTTAATTTCACATTTAAAGTATCTATTTTTTTTTTTTTTTTTATCATTTCAAATATCAGTATTCAACGTTTTATGTTTAAAATATCAAAAATGCATTTGTTACTGCAGGTTAAAGCATTCATGTCTTGTATTAAACATGTAAATGCATCTAAATACCCCATTCAGATGCAGATTCTGTGTTTTCTCTGCATTGCAAAGATTAATTTTTGCATCTAAATGCCCCTTAGATGCAGCTTCTGTGTTTTCTCTGCATTGCAAAGATTAATTTAGTCAATACTGATTTAATTTGCTTGGTAACAGCCCAAATGACTTATTATTCTAATTGACTGATTCAGTTTAAGAATTTGACTGAAAAGATGATGCACACATTTAGAAAAAAGGGCTTTATAAAGGTAAAAATGCCCATAAAAGGTACATTTTTTTAACTTATTGGAAAAGATTAATTTCTATCACTGCTGTGAGATCACCACACAGAATATGCAGAATATGAAAAGCTTTAGGAGTCAGCTGTCCATGGTAGTCCTTAAGATAACAGCACAATAACACATTCAGCGAAATTTCATCTAATCATCGTTATCGATAAAATCCCAGAAAATATAGAGATATATTTTTGTCAATATCACACTCTCCTAATATATTTAACGTTTTGTTTAGAAAAAAATGTAAATAAATATGAGAAGTGCCCTTTTTTTCTACCCCTGCCCCTCAAAATGTCTGTGCACGTCCCTGGGTAGCTTAGTTTATAACTATTTTCATTGAAAAAAGCAGAAATGCACTGTCAAATAACTGTCAATATTGTGTCTTAAGATGTAAGTTACACTGAACAATAATCATCTTACTTTTAATGGTGGAAGACTGTTAAAAGTAATGTTTCATCTAATGTTGGTAAATGAATGTTTATTGCATTATTTTAATGTTATGTGTGTTACCATGATGGTGTATTTCTTGACACTGCAGTTTCTATATATCAGTCTTTACTTCAGATTGTGTAAATGAACTTTTGTGATGAACTTTGATTCATCATGTGGCTTTCACTTTACCACCTGTTGTCAGCATATTATAAAATTTGGTATATTAACATTATTTCAGTTAATGTCATATGTGTTACTTTTACTTTTGTTACATTTTACTGTAAATTTAAGCTTAAATTTTTCTACAATGTCACTTTTTTACAGTTTACTCAGTATTAACTTCAGTATTTAACTAGTTTAAAGAACTTGTACAAAAACAGTATCAAACTCGCAACTGTTTTGTTGGGCTGCGGTAGTAATATGTCAGCTGGAAAATAATGTTCTCGCTAAAATTGTAGCATCTGTGGTGAACGCAAACCACAAATTTCAACAACCTTCAGCACTGTGTAGTTCTAGACTCGTGCCACGCATTATCTAATTGCAACTCAAGTCTTTAGGGACTGACTGTCAAACACATTTACAACAGCACCATGAAGCAGCCCTTACCATCTTTGAATGCTACGTGCAAGCAGTGTTATTCCTCCGAGGATGTAATGTCTCTAAAACGTTTGTAATACCGCATGGGTGGAAACCTTCATTACTCATTTTGCCTTATGAGCTTTCTGGCTCAGACCAAATAAGCTGTTACCAGCACCCCCTTCTCCAAAACGAGATACCCAGCTGTGTGGGGAGAATACAATTATAAATCCTGTAAAGGATTGGTAGAAAGAAGCAGTAAAACATATATGCTGCTGCTGTTTCAAGCCCAGCAAAGCTGATCGCACTTTGTTTCCTTTTAATTTCTAATGGCTCCATCTCCTGTACTCTGTGGGGTGTGTCCAAATGCATAGAAACAGCTGTCTGCAAATCTGGGTCATACCAGCCCATCCTTCACGGCCTTTAATAAAGCAGAACCCAGGGAGCATGGAAAACACAAACCTTGAATGTTTTTTATAATTTTGTACAGATTCAATCAACAAGTTTTATTACAAAAACCCGCACCCATGTCCTTGCTGTCAAACAGTTTTTCCCGGATTTGTGATTGCTTGAGCGGAGCATTGACGGATGCAATTTTTTACAGGCATCCCAGACATCCTTGGGGGTGCTTTATAGTGACAGTAAATGTGGCTTGGATATTGAAACGCACCCTGCAATTCGCATGACAAGATCCGATTCTCTCTGAATTGCTGTGCCGTATAGCTGTTTTCAGTAAAACAGCATTATCTAAATAGTCCCATGACTTGGCTGTCTTCTTTTGAACTGGCCTTTGCAGAGCATTTGTCAGGATATATATCACTGCTGTTTTTGTAATAAAATTCCTGTAGATAAAAAAAATACCTATTTTATCAAAATCTAATGAGATCAAATCAAATGTTATCTACTGAATACAGGATTCTTTGATTCAATAGTTTTAAATAAAATACTGCATCAGTATTTAGTAGTTAACAGTATAGTTCAAAGAAACCACATGTGAAATATATGAGCTTTAAAATACTAAAAAGATTTGAGTTAAATTCCTGTTGGAAGGAATTTTATCCTGATAATCTTTGGACACTCATTTACATTTAGTCATTTAGCAGACGCTTTTATCCAAAGCGACTTACAAATGAGGACAATAAAAGCAGTCAAAACGAACAAAAGAGCAACTATATATAAGTCTCGGTTAGCCTAACGCAGTACACGTAGCAAGGTATATATATATATATATATATATATATATATACATACATATATATTATACACACACACATATACACACACACACACACACACAAACAAAGAAAAACAATTAGATAGAATAGAAAAAATAGAAAACTAGTGTTTTTTTTTGTTGTTTTTTTTAAATAAAGAACAAAAAATAAAAAAAAAGATAAATATAGATAAAGTAGAATTATAATAGAATAGAAAGTGTTAGAGTTAGAGGGTCAAATAAAGGTGGAACAGATGTGTTTTTAGTTGTTTCTTGAAGATGGGTAAGGACTCAGCTGCTCGGATTGATTTGGGCAGGTCATTCCACCAGGAGGGAACAGTTAGTGAAAAAGTCTGTCAAAGTGATTTTGTGCCTCTTTTAGATGGTACTACACTCTTAAAAATAAAGGTGCTTCAAAAGGTTCTTCAAGCGATGCCATAGAAGAACCATTTTTGGTTCCACAAAGAACCATTCAGTCAAAGGTTCTTTAAAGAATCATCTCTTTCTTACCTTTTTATAATCTGAAGAACCTTCTTTCCCCACAAAGAACCTTTTGTGAAACAGAAAGGTTCTTCAGATGTTAAAGGTTCTTTATGGAACCATTTAGACAGAAAGGTTCTTCTATGGCATCGTGAAGCACCTTTATTTTTAAGAGTGTATACGTGTACAAAAATATTTTGTGTGATGCTCTTATACGAGAACCGTTGTCACACTTTGAAAATGATTTTTCAAAGTTGGAAATAAATAAGTATTGTTAAGTATTATTTCAGTTTTTCTACTTTAGAATTTCATATTCAATGTGTTACTTGCCATTTCTTTGTAGTTGTTTGTGAAATTTACTTGACATTTTTGAGAAACTGTTTCTACACATTTTAAATCATTTAAAACATTATTTTTTTTTCAATGTAGCATTCCTTGGATTTGATTACAAATTATAACAGAAATTCCAAATGGATTTATTTGGGATTTTCAGTTCAGTTTCAGTTTAACATTATTGTCTGTCCAGATTTCCTGAACAGAAATTCATCTTTGACACTGGCATAGAAAATACATCCTAACAAATAATACTACACATTCACATATCACAAAAACAAAAAAATAAAAAAATAAAAAATTATATATATATATATATATATAATAATAATTAATACAATATATATGTATGCCCACACATATGCATACACATGTGTACACACACCTACCCAGAAAGATACCTCATGATAATACCTCAATTAAGAATTTGGTTTAAAACAGTCACCGCCAATGGTACAAATGATCTTTTATATAGGTTCTTTTTAGCCATTTTCTAATTAAGGGAAAGTTTATTATAACTGTAAATTTATAATAAAAAAGAAATATTCTAATGTAAAATATTCCATGTTGGTGTTAGAATGTTTCAGTAAGATCGCTTTCCTTTTGTCTGGAGAGTAGTTTCTAATAATAAAACAGGCCAATTGTTACCTCAGCAGCTGAAGTTATTCAATAGAAATTAAATTCGAGTTTTCCTACAATACATAGTGCAGTCCGTTTCAAACCATTAACACTGTGAAAGACATTAGTGGAACAGGAGAACAGTGGTTGTCCTGACAAACCAGGTTTATAGAACAATAAAATGCACTTGTACTCAACTGTGAAGCCTGACTGGAGAAGAGTTACAGCACAGCTTCAATTCATAAAATTGCTTTCACTGAATTCTGGCTTACCAAAAGTGACGTCACAAGGTTTATATGCTCTCCTTTTCGACACAATGCAGTAATCCTACCAGCAGCCATTTCAGTGGAGTCATGCTGGGTAGCTGTGAAATGGAGAACAACCATATATTGAGAGCTGATGGGAAACCAATTGTCTTTTTCTCGAGGGAACACATCTCATACGGTTGTGGTACAACAAAATTGTCTTGAAAATATTAAGTACCAACAGCAGAAAAAAAAAGGTTGTCCTACAGAACCTGAGGGATCATGGACATGGTCAGTAATGCTGCGGACACCAGTGCCTTCATACTGTTAGACACTCCCTGGCCCAGATTTAAAAAATAATAATAATAATAAAAAGCTCCCTGTAAAAATGACTGATCTGAAATTCTATCCCATATTGAGTGCATGTGTGAGTGAAAATTGAGGTCAAACTAATTTGTACCTCTGTCTCTCTGTCAAATCATAATCCAATCCATAACCTGCCACTGAAGCCCTGTAAAAGTAAATGCATAATCCCATACAAGCCTGGGTTTTCACAATAACCCTGTAAACTACAGCTAATGCCTTGTGATATATATAAAAAAAGTTAATAAGTGATATCCCAAATCAAGGTTTTACCGTTTTTAACTGTAAAAGAGGTTTAGCATGCAAATGCATGAATGAGACCTGAATTATAAGTATGACACTCTATTTGTATTCAGGACCATACAACACAATCATAATCCTGATTGCATTTGCCGCTCAAAGTGGATCTTTTGCCTGCGCTTATCTCCTAATCCAGAAGTAGAAAGACAGGATGTGACGCTTTGAGAGAAAAAGAACAAAAAAGAGATAAGAAAACAGAACCAGCGGGTGGTCTCTAGGGTGATTCCTCTGTTATTTCTGTCACTGTGAAATCAAAGAGCAAAAAAGCAATGTCAGTCACATTCTGGAATATCTCTGAAGCAACAAATGAATGTGTATTGCTGTCTTGGAAATTGCTTTTACAATTCCATGTTTTAATCATGGGTAATACTTATTTTTTTTGTATATATTAAAGAATAGTTCAGCCCAAAATGAAAATTTGCTTAAAATTTACTCACCTTCAGGCCATCCAAGATGTAGATGAGTTTGTTTCTTCATCGCAACAGATTTGGAGAAATTTAGCATTACATCACTTTCTCACCAGTGGATCCTCTGCAGTGAATGGGTGCCATCAGAATGAGAGTCCAAACAGCTGATAAAATCATCACAATAATCCACAAGTAATCCACACCACTCCAGACCATCCATTAACATCTTATGAAACGGAAAGCTGCATGTCATAAACAAATCAATGATTTAGACATTTTTTACTTCAAAAAGTTGATTAAAAAAAATGAGTCCTCTATCCATTACTTTCTCCAGTAAAAAAGTCCATACCCTGTTGTCCTCTCACATCAAAATCCACCGTCATATATTGTTTTTGCTTGATCTGTGCATATTTCTTTCCTGATTCAGACAAGATGACTTTATATTACTTTCATTTTAAAATAAATCCTGAAATTAATAAATAATCAAGTATCGCTGATAACCACCATTTCTTTTTGATGTGAGTCCCTCGCATAAGATGCTGGTTTTAGATAAGCAAGAACCAGCATGAATTAGCCTGGACCAGCGTGCTAAACTGGAAATTGTGGAGAAATGATAGAGCTTGGAATAGCCAGGACAATTATTAATATAACTCCGACTGGATTCGTCTGAAAGAAGGAAGTCATATACACCTAGGATGCTTTGAGGGTGAGTAAAACACAAGCCAATTTTCATTTTGGGGGGAACTAACCCAAAAAGCTTGTCGTCCCCTTGGAATTATAAGGTTCTATCTGCATTCCGAGTAGTTTTGAGATTTTGAGCTTCAAAGTTTTTACATTCCATTCGACTGTGTAGATAGAACCTTTTTGTTTTTTAAATAAAAAGTTCCAAAATGTACACAACATTAAAAAATCTATTACGTAATGTAAATAAGTTGTTACAGAATAAGAATATGTGAATAACTTAACTTTGACAAAAATGTCAGATAGAACCTTATAATTTCAAGGGGACGTTGTGTAGAACAGGATGATAAGTGATACTTCTAGTTCTTCAACAACGTGTTTTTGTCTTCAGTTTCAGCTGCATCTGTCCTTCCCAGTGTTTCTTCTGCTCTATGAGTCATCTAACGTTACTGTAGCCACATTAGCACCTTCACAGTCAAGTCCGAATCTTAGCACTGTCTGGAGCAGCTGTGTCAAATGGAACCTTCCCAGTCTGCTCATTACAGTCCCTGTATCCCTGCCATTAACTGGGTCATGGTAATTCAGACACCCACAAGTGGCTATTACAAAAGCCTTGACTGTATGATAACTTAAAACGAGCCAACATGGAAATGAATGTGCTGCTATAGAACAGAACCTACAGCATGAGCACCCCATCTGCTGGCCGAGTCGAAAATGACCCTTATAGACTGTTACTGCATCCCAATTTGCATACTATTTGTCCTAACCAGCATGCAAGATTAGAATTTGTTTCCTACAGCGTAGTAAAGCAACTGTACAGTATTTTTTTTAATATAATGGACTTAAATGGTGGTCAGCTTCAAAGGGCTCTACACGATCCCAGCCGAGGAATAAGGGTCTTATCTAGCGAAACGATCGGTCATTTTCTTAAAAAAATACAAATGTATTTACTTTTTAACCACAAATGCTCATTTTGCACTAGCTCCACGATGCGCCGTCGCTAAATTCACGCATGACGTAATCAAGTTGGAAATATCACACGAGGTTAGCTCTTCGTACTTCCGTTCAAAAAGGTAGGGTAGGGTGAAAACCTCCATCTCATTTTTTCCTCCAACTTCAAAATTGTCCAACATCATTGTTTTACCTTTTTTTTTTTGTAAAGGGCATTTGACTTTCTTTGCACGTTCACTTTGTAAATGCTGGGTCGGTACTTCCGCCTACTTTCCAACGTGACTATGTAATGAATGAAGTCGAGCTGGTGCAAAGGTGTGTTCATTGAAACTACAATTTGGACCTTCAACTCGTTGGTCCCCATTGAAGTTCATTATATGGAGAAAAATCCTGGAATGTTTTCCTCAAAAACATTAATTTCTTTGCGACTGAAGCCAGAAAGACATGAACATCTTGGATGACATGGGGGTGAGTAAATTATCAGGAAATTTTTATTCTGGAATTGAACTAATCCTTTAAGCCAATAAGAGCAGTTATTTGTTCAGAGTCTCTATCAGCTTTAAATAGTTTATTAAGTGGGCAGTCAACAACAAGACAAAAATTAATATATGAGATACTTATAAATCTGCTTAGAATACAGAAAATGGGTATAGTCCTGAGGTTCATATGGGTACCTGCACATGTGGGGGAGTACAAGGTAATTAAATATTTGACAAACTGGCCAAACAGGCAATGTAACATATGGTCGTTGAAGTACAAATTCCACTGAGTAAAGCAGAAATAAAAGGAAGAATTAAAGAATACATGAACAAAGAGTGGCAAGAAATGTGGAACAGGGAAATAAAGACCAGACACCTCTACAATATCCAAAAACAAGGGAGCGTATGCCTCAGTAGTAGTAGAGAAGATGTAATTATTACACGACTCCAAATAGGACATTCTGGTTTAAATCATTCATTGTTCACAATAGGGAAACATGGATTATGTATATCCTGTAGTGAGCATGTACTTCAACATTGTGCAGTATTTGCCAAGGAAAGAAAAGTACGCTGCAGCAGACTTGCCTTTTCTTCCCCTGCTGTGTTCCGGTGAGCTTCGGAAACAAGGATGACTCGCGATTGCCTCTCCTGCGCAGAGCCAATTGAACTCTCTGATGGCCACAAGTCGTGCGTCTTCTGCCTGGGTCGCGCCCATGCAGAGGCAGCGCTTGGGGGGTCGGACTGCCCCCACTTCGGAGATATGAGTCTCCGGACTCTCAAGCTCCATGTGGCCATTGTCCAAGTCAATGAACTCGCCCAACTAGCCCTGCCGCGCTCTTCCTCTGCAGCCTATTTCGAGCCAAGGAGAAGAGTGCCGCAAGCTTCTGATGCAGATCTGTCAGGGTCAGGTGACGAGCCCGCGCCGGCTCAATTAATATATGAGATACTTATAAATCTGCTTAGAATACAGAAAATGGGTATAGTCCTGAGGTTCATATGGGTACCTGCACATGTGGGGGAGTACAAGGTAATTAAATATTTGACAAACTGGCCAAACAGGCAATGTAACATATGGTCGTTGAAGTACAAATTCCACTGAGTAAAGCAGAAATAAAAGGAAGAATTAAAGAATACATGAACAAAGAGTGGCAAGAAATGTGGAACAGGGAAATAAAGACCAGACACCTCTACAATATCCAAAAACAAGGGAGCGTATGCCTCAGTAGTAGTAGAGAAGATGTAATTATTACACGACTCCAAATAGGACATTCTGGTTTAAATCATTCATTGTTCACAATAGGGAAACATGGATTATGTATATCCTGTAGTGAGCATGTACTTCAACATTGTGCAGTATTTGCCAAGGAAAGAAAAGTACGCTGCAGCAGACTTGCCTTTTCTTCCCCTGCTGTGTTCCGGTGAGCTTCGGAAACAAGGATGACTCGCGATTGCCTCTCCTGCGCAGAGCCAATTGAACTCTCTGATGGCCACAAGTCGTGCGTCTTCTGCCTGGGTCGCGCCCATGCAGAGGCAGCGCTTGGGGGGTCGGACTGCCCCCACTTCGGAGATATGAGTCTCCGGACTCTCAAGCTCCATGTGGCCATTGTCCAAGTCAATGAACTCGCCCAACTAGCCCTGCCGCGCTCTTCCTCTGCAGCCTATTTCGAGCCAAGGAGAAGAGTGCCGCAAGCTTCTGATGCAGATCTGTCAGGGTCAGGTGACGAGCCCGCGCCGGCTCAGTGCCCACGCGCTCCTCACCCCCCTGCTGCAGGTCCCCTTCCAGTTACCTCCACAGAGTCCCTGCCCATCTCTGTCCTTCAGCCGCGGCGAACTGGAGAGTGAGAAACAATGCATCTCTCCCCTCTAAACCTTGCTGCGCCACTGCAAACTTCGCCGGCAAGGCTTTCTCCGCAGCAGGCCAAGCAGCTTCAGCACTGCACGAGATGGCAATACTCCAGGTGTATCAGCCCAAGCTGCTCAAGTCTCTGGATGAGGACGGGCCGGACCCTGAAATGTTCAAAGAGCTCCTACGCGCCATGGATATGGCGGATATGGATATGGTGATGAAGGTGACAGCTCGAATGAACGGCCGCAACATGGGGAATCTTTTGGTGCTAGATCGTCACCTGTGGCTTACTCTGACCGAGTTAAAGGACTCGGAAAAAACGGCCCTTCTGGACGCACCCGTGAATCCCTCAGGTCTCTTTGGAGCAGCAGTAGAGACGTTCACAGAGCGCTTAGTTGAAGCACAGAAACAGTCGAAAGCTATTAACCACTTCCTGCCAAAGCGCGGGCGCGAACCCTCCTGCGCGTTCCCGCTCCTCCTCAGCGCAGCGCGCGGGAAGACCGCACACCTCTTCTGTTGCTGTTCGGCGCGAACATGAGCTGGCAGTGAGACCAAGACAGCCTTGGCCAAAGCGCCCCCAAAGAGACCCCACCCTGACAGAGACGGCAGGCCACCGGCACTGGAATCAAAGCCACGTTCCTGATGCTGTCTCTCGGAGGAGGAAACTCCTCCCTCATCACTCACTCTCACACTTGTGTGGTATTAAACTCCCCGCCCCCCAACGGCAAGTTATCCCTAATGCAGTCCGCCTTGCCTGCTGTCACAGTTCACAGAAGCGCTGCCAGGGGTATCAGAGTGGGTTATGAAATCAATAAAGAACGGCTACACGCTTCAGTTCTTCCGCAGGCCGCCCCGGTTCAACGGTGTGTTAATGTCCACTGTACGGGAGTGGAATGCCTCAGTTATACGAGAGGAAATACACAACCTCCTCGCAAAACGTTCTGTAGAGACAGTGCCCCTTGCAGACCGCGAGAGCTTACCAAAGACGGCGGACTCCGCCCAATCTTGGACCTGAGACCGCTAAATCGCACGCTTTCGAAGTGCTCGTTCAGAATGATTATGCTGAGACAAATCCTCTCACACATCAGACCGAGAGATTGGTTTATC